AGCCAGCGGAAACGCTGTATTTTCATTCGCTGCACTATGTCCATTTCGTTGTAAGTCTCGTAGCTCATCGCGCGTAGAGGCCTGTAAATTTTCCGTAAGATCTTTCTCTCGAATACGCCAAGAGCCGTCTCATCGAATGTTGTCATTGTCTAATACGATGCTTCCACGTTCGTAATTCGCTAGTTAATTCGTGAATTACCCTGTTTCCACGCCACACATTAGTAATTCGTTTGGCAGCTCTACTGCTTGTTCTTGCTCTTCGCTATTTATTATTATTTTTGTGTACTGCAAATGTCGAAGGTGGAGCTAAAATTTAAGTTATCATCAACAATTTTAAGTTGTATAGAGAATATTTTATTAACGTTATTCTATAACTAGAAAAAGTGCCAGCAAATGGGACCAGGCAGGAGCGCGAATTACGAAGCATGGAAACGACGTATAAGCTTCTGCGATACATACCATCTCGGGCATGATGATTGACTTATAAAGCGTGGGTTTTGTACGTTGAGAGAGAACTTTACTATCTAATTGCCTGTTCTACGTTGGATTTCGATGCCGACATAATTATCGGTGTTGTCCTGGTCCCCAATTAATCGAAATTCTTTACATTCTCGAAACTGGCAACCGTGACGTGGTTGGCAAGGCGCGAATGCTCTGACTGTTTGTTTGATGACAGGAGATACTTCGTCTTGTACTCATTGATCACCAGAAATTACATGCCCTTGTAAAAAATTCTTCTTAAGTGGTTCAGTTCCGCAGCTCTTATTAGTAAGAATACAAAATAATTGTCAATTAATATTTCTGGCCAAGGACAGTATTGGTTATAATTTTATCAGTCATATGAGTGTATAGGTGACCCAATATGGATAAGTTTCGGATTTTTATTTTTGTTTTTATTTTCAAATCAGTTTTGATTACTTTTTTTAATAAATAATATAGTTCATTCTATAACAAAAGCCTTGTTAATCCAAGTTTAAAACATTGTACACAAATAAAAACAAATCAAAAAAGTTTCATCAAAGAACGTCGATAATAAGAAGGGACAACTCGTGCCTTCTCTTTTGCGCTAGTACTTTTTCATCAAAACTCCACACTTTTTATTCTGAATGTTTAATTTTGATGAATCTTTGATTTTCACTTAATTTTTGTACAAAGTTTGAAACATGGGTTTACATGGTTTTTGTTTTAGAATGAACTATATTTTTTATAAAAAAGTAAATAAATTAATTCGAAAATAAAAATAAAACTCCGACACTTATCCATAAGGTCACCCCTATAAGTGTATAGTGCACTACATCATTTACAAACTATTTATGAAATCAAATTTTATTGTTTTCTTGGAACATTGCTGAGGAACAATATCAGTTATAATTACGTATATAACTTCATATTCTTCTTCTTTCTTCATATTTGGCGCTGTAACCGCCTAAGCGATTTTGGCCGAGGTCAGCAAAGTACGCCAGTCGTTTATCTTCTGTGCCAACTGACGCCAATTGGAAACGCCAAATGAAGCCAAGTCCTTCTCCACCTGATCTTTCCATCGCAGTGGGGGCCTCCCTCTTCCTCTGCTACCACCAGCGGGTTCCGAGTTGAATACTTTCAGAGATAGAGTGCCGGTGTCCATTCGAACGACATGGCCAAGCCAGCGGAGCCGCTGTATTTTAATTCGCTGCATTATGTCCATATCGTTGTAAAGCTCATACAGCTCATCGTTCCATCGTCTGCGGTACTCGCCGTCGCCAACGCATAAAGGCCTGTAAATCTTCCGCAAAATCTTTCTCTCGAACACTCCAAGAGCCGCCTCATCGGATGTTGCCATTGTCCATACTTCTGCGCCATATACCAGCACGGGCATATTGAGTGACTTATAGAGCGTGGTTTTCGTACGTCGAGAGAGGACTTAACTCCTGAATTGCCTACTCAGTCCAAAGTAGCACTTGATGGCAAGAGTGATTCTGCATTGGATTTCCATGCTGACATTATTATCAGTGTTAATGCTGGTTCCCAAATAAACGAAATTCTCTACTTTCTCGAAATTGTAACTGTCATCAGTGACGTGGGTGCCAAGGCGCGAATGTGCTAACTGTTTGTTTAATGACAGGAGATACTTCGTCTTGTCCTCGTTTACCACCAGACCCAGTCGCTTTGCTTCCTTATCCAACTTGGAAAAGGCAGACTTCGCGGTTTTTGAAACCGATGATATCGAATTCATCGGCATAAGCCAGCAATTGCACGTTCCTGAGCGGCTCGAAGAGGTCTTTCCCAATTCTGACGGAGCTGGTGGTATTGTTCGACGTCATTTTACACAGCCGCATGAGTTTTAAGGGGATACCAAATGCAGACATAGCGGCGTATAGGCACATCCTTTTAGTGCTGTCAAAAAAGGCTTTAAAGTCGACAAATAGGTGGTGAGTGTGGATCCTTTTCTCGCGGCTCTTTTCCAAGATTTGGCGTATTGTGTATACCTGGTCTATGGTGGATTTTCCAGTTCTAAAGCCACACTGATAAGGCCCAATCAATTAATTGACGGTTGGGCTTCAGTCTTTCACACAATACGCTCAATAAGACCATGTAACCTATGCTTAGAAGGCTGATCCCGCGGTAGTTGGCGCGAATGGCGGGGTCACGTTTCTTGTGGATTGGGCAGAGCACACTTAAATTCCAGTCGTCGGGCATGCGTTCATCTGATCATATTCTGACCAAGTGTTGATGCATGCACCTTATCAACTCCTCGCCACCGTGTTTGAATAGCTCAGATGGCAGGCTGTCAGCTCCAGCAGCTTTGTTGTTTTTCAGCCGCGTTATTGCTATTCGTACCTCGTCATAATCAGGCGGTGGAACGTCGACTCCATCATCATCGACTTCGGGCTCGGGTTCTTCTTCTCCACAACTTTCCGTGCTGCTACCATTCAGTAGGGCGGAGAAGTTTTCCCTCCATAATTTAAGTACGCTCTGAACATCGGTTACTAGGTTGCCATTGTTGTTCTTACAGAAATACACCCTGGTTTTGAAACCTTCCGTAAGTCGCCTAACTCTTTGGTACAATTTTCGGGCATTCTTCCTGTCGGCCAGCATTTCAAGCTCTTCGCAATCACGTATTTCGGCCTTTCTCTTCTTATTGCGGCAAATACGTCTCGCTTTCCTCTTCAGATCCCTATAGCCGTCCACATAGCGATCGTTGCGCCCGATCGCAGCGTGGCCCTGTAGGCGGCATCTTTTTTATCTGCAGCGTCCTGACACTCCTCATCGTACCAGTTGTTATTTCGGGCTCGCTGAAATCCGAGTACTTCTTCGGCGGCGGTACTTAATAAGCGGGAAATGTGGTTCCACTGCTCGAAAATGTCAGTTTGTTGAAGAGTGCTCTCTGAGAGCAGGTGTGAGAGTCGAGTAGTGAAAGCACTGGCTGTCTGTTGTGATTGCAGCTTTTCGACGTTAAGCTTTCCTTGCATATTTGGGCGCACATTGTTTGCTGCACAGAGGCGGGTGCGTATCTTGGCTGCACCAAGATAGTGGTCCGAGTCGATGTTTGGGCCTCTGAGTGTGCGTACGTCAAAAACAGTGGATGCGTGCCTTCCGTCTATCACAACATGATCGATTTGGTTTCTCGTTTTTCGATCCGGAGACAGCCACGTAGTTTGATGGATCTTTTTATGCTTGAACCTAGTACTGCATACTACCATGTTTCGGGCCCCGGCGAAGTCGATCAGCCTCAGTCCGTTGTCGGACGTTTCATCGTGGAGGCTAAATTTTCCAACGGTGGTTCCAAAGATCCCTTCTTTGCCCACCCTGGCATTGAAGTCGCCAAGCACGATTTTGATATCATGACGGGAGCAGCTCTCGTACCTGCACTCCAAGCGCTCATATAAGAGATCCCTGGATGCCTCATCTTTCTCTTCCGTCGGGCCATGGGAGCAGATGAGCGAGATGTTGAAGAATCTCGCTTTGATGCGGATTGTGGCTAGACGCTCGTCCTCCGGGGTGAACGACAGTACTCGGCGACGGAGTCTCTCTCCCACAACAAATCTAACTCCGAATTTGCGCTCCTTTACATGGCAGCTGTAGTAGACGTCGCAAGGCCCCAGACATTGCTTACCTTGGCCCGTCCAACGCATTTCTTGGATGGCGGTGATTCACGAGGACATCAACCAGCCGGGCAGAGGCACCTTCCCTATTAAGGGTCCGAACATTCCAGGTGCTTGCCCTTAAATCGTAGTCCCTTAAACGTTTGCCGTGGTCGTCATCA